TTACCCAACCTTCTCAATTACTTTTATTTTGCTCTCGGAATTATGCCTTTCATACACTTACAACATTGTCTATTTTTATATGCATTATTTTCTGAATAAAATTTACACGTTGATCACAAGAATATTTCCACTACATCCACCCTCTCCTTCCTGCAACATTCAAGGACTAGGCTTGAACTGGAAAGTGCTGACGCCTCTATAACCTGTTTACGTTCAACAGACTCCTCAGCCTTTTACTTTATTTCCATTTTTCATACGATAATTTAATTCATTTTTCGTAGTCTTATTTTCTGACATATCCTGCATTTATCCACTAACCTCTAGTTCCTTCTAATCTGACTGTCATTTTTTTCGGTGATCATGCCATCTCGTAACGTTATTAATTCTTTGTGAACTGCTTTCGCATATCAACTATATCTTAGACATTTCTGTCTAACTCGCTTATTATTTTTCATTGCACGAAGGGTGACTATGGCGATCACTTCCAGGATTGCTAGTCAAACACAGGAACACTAATGGTAAACTTTTCAGTACAACAAAAATGTTTTTTTTTCTAGTCCAACTGTTTACCTTTTAGTCTTGTGACTCCGTCCAATGTCATCTCCCTCTCTCTCTCTCCTTGTCTTCTCTCTCTCTTCCTCTCTCTCTTTTCTCTCTCTCTCCTCTCTCTCTCTTTTCTCTCTCTCTGTCTCTCTCTCTCGCTTCCTCGATTTTTTCTCATTTCCTTGACGTATCTCTCGCTTACTTGTCCTCTATTCTTTCTTATTTTTCATCTCCCTTCATCTATCTCTTGCTCTCTCAATTTTCTTTAATCTTCCTTTTTGTCCTCCCACAATCGTTCATCGAATTTATTTTTATTTTTGCTATAATCGATCTCTCTATTTTTCCCCCAAACATCTATATGCTTCTCTTTCCTCTTCACATCTATATTGCTCTCTTCCCCCTCTATTTTGTAACTTGCTTTCTCTCTTCCCCTCGACATCTTTCTTGTTCTCTTAATCTCTCGCTTATTTTCTCCCTTGTTGTCTTTCGCTCCCTTTATCTCTTGCTCACTTTGTTGTTATTTCCTTCTCTTCCACTCTTTCGACCTCCCTCTCTCCTCACTGACTCTTTCGCTCTGTCTCTCTCTCTCTCTCTCTCTCTCTCTCTCTCTCTCTCCCCTGAAAGTTTGTAAGTTTATTCGTGTGTGTGTGTGTGTGGTGTGTGTTGTGTGTGGGGTGTTGTGTGTGTGTGTGTGTGTGTGTGTGTGGTGTGGGTTTAGAGGGGTAAAGAAGACCAATGATACGAGAAATAGAGAAGAGACTTATTTATCACTTCCTAAGCTACCACGGAAAAGGAAGCTTTAACCTTTTTGAGGATACACACCAAATATATTTGGCAAAGAGAGAGAGACATTTCCCATGTCTTCATCCTTAAGGCCTTTCACTCAATATTGAGCTTTCATAAAGATAATCGCAGGGTGAGATGTCGTTTAGACAGACTCTTGGTATACTGTGTCTCTTAACTGTGCCAGTCGACCCTAATTACCAGTCAAACCAGCAAATATATTTCCTAGATATTCTCTGGTATTTTGCTTACTCTCTGTAATTTAATTTTGGTAAAAATTATATTATATTATAAAGATATTTTTTTTTTGACTGAATGTACGTATATCAGTCAATACAACTTCCTTGGACATCTGTAAGTGAAAAGTAGTAGCATTGAGAACTCCGTGGCATAGAGAAACAAGCAACTTGAATAAAGGAATAAACTGCACAAGCACATGCCTCGCGTACAAAAATGTGCTTAAAAACAGAGTTCTCATTGCCAATAATTATTGTTAATATCCCTTCAAGCACTCTTGTGGGCATTTCCATCAGTCTTTCATCAGATATAGAAAAGGGGGAAAAATATAGTGATCCAAAACAGTAATTCTATTTACAAAATCGACCTCCGTAAAAAAAATGGTAGCTAAATCTCCGATAAGGCTGCAGACCACAGATAATTTAATAATATATATTAAGATGGATGTGAAACCTGGATGAAAGAAAGAAATTCCACGTTAGTACTCGAAGTGTGGGAAATAATGAGTTTTTGAAGATTGAGACTAATTAATACCTAGACTTGGGATCAATAAATTCCTAGGTTTGGGGCTAATTAATACCTACGTTTAGTATGGATTAATTAATACCTAGGTTAAAGAATAGTTAATATCTAGGTTAAAGAATAGTTAATATCTAGGTCAGGGACTAAGTCCTAGGTTTGGGACTAATTATCTAGAAATGGGAAGAATTTTATGCCTAGATTTGGGACTAATTAGCTCCTAGGTATGGGACCAATTAATACCTTGGTTTTGGGGGTGCCTAATACCGAGGTTTGGGACTATTTGGTACCTGGAAAGGGATCTAATGAGTACCTGAGGTGTGGACTAGTAAATACCTTAAAAAGTGGGCTTACCGAGGTATAATGTAACATGTAATCAACATATTTACACTGAGACACGGGGCTAAAAATGAAATAGCCAACTGTACAGACATTTTTCAATCATACCATGGTTTTTGGAAATTTAGGACAAATTGACATAAGTATGGTTACAAAAGACGTGTATATAGCAGAAACGCCGTCACAAAGAACACTCCTTTGTTGAACAAACCATGCATAAACTCATGCAGCAAGGTATTTCTGGCTGTCATGTGGTCTCATGCGTGCTTCCCCATTGATCGTCACATCCCCTGTTGAACACCTTTTTTTTTTTTTTTTTTTTTTTTTTTTTTTTTTTGAGAATTTTAGTACATGTGCCATGCCCTCCCGTAAAAAGTTCTTAAAACGCACTCAAGTATTCATTAACTGGATTTCAAAAAGATACTGTGGCAAAACCATGAGCAAAGTCAAGTCATAAAATAGACCTCAAGCTATGTATCTTTTTGAAACTATAGCTTGTTAACCTGTAATGAAGAGAGTTAACCAAGATGGGAGTATTTAACAGTGCATTTGCATTTTTTAAAAAGAGGTCTTTTTAGTTTATTCTGAGAGCATACAAGAGAGTAACTTTAAAAAAATTAAAAGAAATTAAATTATGTTTGTTAGAAGGAAAGCTTTTTGTTTAGGGTGGCACTGAGAGCCCTGATATGTCATGCATGGGCAAGAAGCTACCTTAGCGTCAAGAGACTATGCAATACATCAGCTGTTAATTGGCCGCTGCGGAGAGGACACGCCATCACCTTTGAAGTAGGGGACACGGACCTTTGCCTTTGCAGTAGGCAGTATAGACCCTTTAACGCTCTTGTAGTAGGGGACACTAACCCTTTAATCTCCCCTTGAATTAGGGTGCAGAGACCTATCACTGGAATATGGGAACACTTCAAGAGCCGTGTCACGAAACACAGAAAAAAGGCTGCGATAGTAGCGTTGGAGAGGATAAAATTTCTCTCTCGCTCTCTCTCTCATGGCATAAAAATATATTTCCAACCATTGTGAATGTATTTCTACTAAGCAGTAGGAAAGGGCTCACCACCATTCCTCATGAAGAGGTCAGAGTCCAACATTACAGTTATGGGTCAGAAAAGTGTCACCTAGAATAAAATTTAGGACTATAATTCCTCCAATTATGAGAGAAGTCACACTTTTATTAATCATTAGCGTCTGCCAAGAAAATAAATAAGAGTAACATAGAACTCTTTTAAAAAAATTAGTTGATAGAAACATGAGAGAATTAATTAAAACTTCAAAGTGTCAACGCTATAAAAAATCGTATATTTCTCTTAAGATTCCGCTCTTGATGTACTCTGAGAGAGCTTTAGCCATCAGTGGAAACACTTGATTTATATGATGGCTTATTTGTTTGGAGATTTAAAAGTATATTAATTCATAAATACTGTACGTGATAGTATTATGGTCTACGTCCGCACACTGCAATAGGGACGTTGTCTAAAGAAAAAGTGATGCATTACTTATTGTTGTTGTTTAGGAGCTTCTCAGTAAAAGAATGTATTGTAATGTATTGGTAAAGCGTAGCTTCACCTTTTCTCCTAGGTTAAGTGTGTATTTGTTCTTACATAGACTATGTATTTGTTTTTACTGAACTATGTATTTGTTCTTCTAGATACTAGAAAAGATATATTCATTATTAATATTATACAGTTAAATATTTTTACCTAGATTGGTTACTAAGAGAAGCAAAAAATATTGAAAATATTTGTTTTTCACAAATAAAATTGATGACAAACAAGAAACAATTAAGTCATGGGAATTTCATTTTAACTGAAATTAGCTCTTAAAATTTAACATTTATCCTCATAAAATAAAATTTATCTAAATAAAAATAATAATCTTTCAGTGTCAATCTTAAGCAATAAAATATCCAACACATTAGAGGTATACAAATTGAAGAAAATTGCGATTTGACATAAATAGGTAAAATGGACAGGAGGGGGTTTATACGTAGACTAGTTGAACACACATGGTCTGTTGCACATACTCAGACTAACATTAATATTTTTTCAATATTCCTAATGCATGAGTCAGAGTACTGACAAAGATCAAATAATCCAACACACAAATTGCAGTTACAAAGAAACATAGTTGCTATAATCGAAGTCATCCCGAATTTTAACACTTCATGGGGCTACTGAAAACTTGGCGCCATCACGAGGGATACAAAACTGGTGCATTTCCTTTGAATATTGACAAAATTCGGAGTTCATGTCATATGTCTTGGCCTCTGTGAACTCTTTTATTTTTGTTACCTACATACGATTACGTTTCTGTGCTTAGTATTCCAGAATAGGAATCGAGAAATCCAGTATTATATTTTCTGATTCTTATTGAAATGTGCATTAATATATATATATATATATATATATATTATATTATATATTATATATATTATATAATATATATATATATATATATATATATATTACTGATTATTATCGTTATAATCACATTTTACTGTTTATATATAGCCAGATTACATGCCACACCTTATAAAATGTATAAATCGGAGATATAAGTAGATATCGAATACATCCGTAACGTGTATTCCAGGATTATGGAAATGGATTTTCTTTCATGTATTGTCTTGTACCTAATCATGCCGATCAAGTTTAGGTCTCTTAAATATAAATTCCGTTGGATGAACAGCTATCTTGGTATTTTATTGTAGAGTTCATTACTATTCAGTTTAATTGTCAATTTCTAATGCTTTGCGCGGAAAGCTATATCAGATCTATGGGGTATAGCAATCATAGGGGCACAGTCCTCTCTGCGCAGGGGCCGAACAGGATCAGCTGACACGTCTCCGTGCAAACCCAGCCCTAGTGCGGCCTCAAGCTATAAGACTCATGCAAGGATCTCTACCGCTCGTTCGTGAGGGATGCACAAGTGTAGTAGTAGAAACAGTAGTGGTTAGATAAATTAAAATAAAAAGTCGTCATAGTAGTAGCATATACAACGCACAAATGTACAAAATCAGGAATTCACTAAAAAAGCTGAAGTTATTGGCAAAAAAACACAAGAATGACTTGATTAGTTTGGTGTAAATGTTCACTTTCTTTTGTTGATTAGAGGAACTAAATGAAAATCAATCATAAATTCTGAAAAAATCTTAGATATGATCATAAAATCGCAAGGCTACAAGGGCTGGGTTGAGGCTAGTGATAACTTCTTTTGCGTCCTGAATCTCGTTTTCTGTTGCACCTGAGATGGCGCCACTTACCATGATGCCGGTTGTCACCGCAATACCCCTCCCACAGTAAGTATTTGGGACAATATCACCATACCCCACGGACAAGAATGTGATCGCTATAAGCCACATGGTGTTCAACAAATTGGCATGTTCTTCGTCATGGTACCTGTTGGGAGAGCGAGAGAGCAATGACAGGTAAGAGGGGTCAAGTCGAGAGAGGCCACTTACCATGATTCCACAAGCCACAGCGATGGTCCTCCCACAGTACGTGTTAGGAACAATATCCCCGTACCCAACACATAATATAGTGACAGCGATGAGCCACATAGCGTTAAGCAGATTAGCATGTTCTTCATCGTGATACCTATAGAGTACAAGACATGACCATTAAGAGTGACTCCCGGGGCTTGCCCGGGGTAGGTCAACCACTGAACACCAATCAGGGTGGACAACAACCAGTAAGGGGCATGGTTCATCAACCGGGTGATTCATTGCAAGAACATGATTGGATGCAACATTGAAATGGGAGTGGTTTGATGCCAAGGGCTTAATCTGACGGTATACACCAAGCAGGCCGGTATCAATCTACACAACTAGATGGCTATTGGCCAGGAGGAGTTAGAGAGTGAGAGAGACAACAGCGACGCGAGCAGTGTAAGTGACGGGTTTGAGCACGTGGCGACAGTTAAGACCATGTGTTCATAGCTGTACTATATTGTAGTTCACGACTGAGCCCTTCTGTTAAGCTAAGCCATTTTTTTTCTGTGTGGAAACTGAGCTTCATTCGTTGGAATGAAGCTCGGCGCTGACTGAGAAAAAACAGCTTAGGGCTCGGGTTACTAAATGAGCCCTTAACTGGGCCCTCGACGTACTCCGGGCCAGTCCCCATCGTGGCTCCCATACAACACTGTAGCCCCAACTGGCCCTGCAGGAGTGCTGAGAGGGAAGGTGGGGTGAAGAAGGGAGGTGGTGGGGTGTAGAGGGAAGGTGACGGGGGTGAAAGGGTGGTGGAGGAAGAGGAATACCTCTGTAACACCTGCAATCCCTCTCACAATAGTTGTTATCACCTTACACACACTGCCAATCTGAGTGTGTAGAGGAGCAGGAACAACTATGTGAGAGCTCTCGTAGAGGAGTGAATAAGGGCTCAAAAACACTCTAGTGCATCAAAATAACTAGAAACATCTTTACCTGGTAGGGTAAAGTGAAGTCCTTTGGTATTTCGTGAAAATCATAAGAGTACATTACAAAATATGACTTAAATGTGAGAGGCTCTCAACACATATATATATGTATATGGAAACTGTATATATACTTGGCTATGCATGCTTGTCATTGAAAAAAGACAGACTGATACAAGCCTCTGTCTCGGGAAAAATGCCTTCATGATTTGCTGAAAGCTGTCATGAGCCAAGCTGAAGCAAGCACCAGGCACCTCAGCTGAGGAGCTCAGCATCTGGAGCGGCATCGTCGGCCAAGGCAAGCTTTTAGCCACATCAAGTATCATTTACCACTCGACAGTCTGGAGCAACTGACCAATGACTCGAGAACGGTATGGTGTTGGGGCTACTGTGCTGTGGGAAAACATTATACATTGTATTGAAAAATAATATAATGACACAAAAAAGTTGGTAACTAGACTAGAAGCCATGTCTAAGAACATAATGTTTCTAGTAGGCACAAGGAACCAAAAAAGATTTAATTGGTACGTCTAGTATGCCATTCACATCACTACTTAAATAAACTTAATACTACAGATGCTAGGTTCCATAAACACTGTAATGTACGGAGGCCCGACTGTGAAAGTGAGCTCCACTTGCTTTGAATATTCTGCAAGAATAAAATACAATTAGATGAAATTAAATAATTGAAAAAAAAAAAAAAGTTTAAGGCTATATTTGGGCTGAAGTACATCACGTTGGTAAGTTTAGTAGGCATTGTATTAAAGATCTAATCGTATATCTAGTTAGCTATCTATAATAAATTCTAAGAAAAATAATAATAATAATGATAATAATGATTCCAAGTTCTAAAACAGCTTAGGGAAGGCAGTTTCCAAAGGTGCCAGCTGGGGTTACGTGCGTTACCACTAAGTCTAGCCACTGGCGCCTTTGTTAACTACCTGTACTTTCACGGTTGTTCTAGGCTCTTGGATTATCTAAAAACGTAATCATGCATACTGTCTCCGCATGTGGAGTTCTAAGGGGCATTCTACATGTCTTTTTTTTATAGAGAGATAAATAAGTATTCATATGATGGGTATCTATCTTTCTAAGGTGGTCAGGTTAGAGACACTGATCTGTGAACCACCATGAGCTAGTCACCCGAAAATGTCACTGAAGAGGACCGCGCAAATGGTCTAAAGAATCATTTCCATTAAAAATCATTAACGCTTATCAGTTAAGAAATATAAAAGTTTATAATGCTGAAGCATTGTTAGCTTTGAGGCGTGGAATTTTAGCACGAAGCATTCAGAGATCGATCTTGTGAGTGTCAAAATGAATCTCATGTGTATTCCGAATACCAATAATAACAAGAAAGGCCCGCGGTTCTCTTTCCTGAGTGGTCCATGTTCTCAGTCAATACAGCACATAAATACAGAAGCAACTTGTATATGTATGTTAAGAAAAACATATGTCATTTATTTTGTTTACTTATCTCCATAGTAAGTCAAATGCACTCAAAATAGTAACAGTAGAGAAGGTGGTTTACAGAACAAAGTGTCAGCCCGTACCGAAGGAGAGGAGCCCTTGGGAACAATGAAGTGAACAACAATGCATGTTCAAGTGAGAACTTAAATTGCAGTGTTTTGGTTAACGCTTCTACAAGACTACTTGTAGCATCCTTTAAATATTATTAATGGATGATTGCAGCATTCTTAAATATTATTAAGGTTGCCTGAAATATCTTTATGAAAAACATCGCCTAATGAATATTTTACTTATATTGTTAATAACATGTCTGCTTGTCTCCATAATCAATTTCTTTCTTTTAGTAATGTAGCATCCATAATTCTGTGAGATTAAACTCCCATAGAAGCTTTAATTTCATGTGATTAAAATCATATAGTACATTTGTATTTAAATGATACAACATTTATATTTAAATGAATAAAGGTTAATTTAATTTTCCATCTTTAGAGTCACATTGTACCTTTAATTTCATGTGGCTAAAAATTATTAAATTTTTCCACTCATGCTTATATGCTTTTGTATATAAGTTCATTACAATGTAACAGTTATTATTAAAGTTCCAGTTAGAGTGATATAAGAGGCTCGTCTCATTCGTCATAACTGATGCAGTTGTGGGAAAGTTTACTCTAAATATTCCATGACACTCTAAGCAAATGACACTTATTTTAGAAAATTTAGTGCAAAAATGCAATAAGTCCAATTTCTTCAATAATTTCACTTTGAATCACGGTGAATACAACTTTATGGGAACATAAGTATATAGTGCATAAATGACGAAAGATTATATTTTGTAATCATTAACATTAGTTGATGCGCATTTAAACCTGTGTTCCCATTACTTTTTCGTATCTCTGTAAGCAGGACATGTTCATAGGTACAGTATGATTATTATATTATAGTACATTCTCAACAGAAATATTTCAAGAGTATATCTGTGTGCGTGTGAAAATTAATGCCTCGACTTGTATGGCACTGTATGCTTTATATTTGTGTGTGTGTGTGAACTCACCTGATAGTACTTACCTATTTGTGTTGCAGGGGTCAAGTCTTGGCTCCAAGCCCTGCTTCATGTTACTTGCATAATTTGCTCAATTTCAGTCTTTCAGCATGGAGCCTGCGTTGATTACTTCGTCTTTCAGGTGATTCTACTTCTTGACCATCTTGAGGCTTAAGAAGTATTTTCTGACATCACCGAGACTCGCATGTGACTTCAGTTTTTAACTCTACCGTTGTGGATCTGTTTCCCATTCCAGGAACACTCTCTTCCTGTCCACCTTTACAAAACCTTTAAGTATGTCCTTATCATGTCTCACCTGAATCTTCTGTCCTATAATAATATCAGGTTTAGTTTTTTAAGGCTCCCATTGCTCTTTCTCCTAATTTAGAGACTAATTTCATTGCAGAAGTCAGCAGTTTTTCTAGTTTCTTAAAATGCTCTATCAGATTAGAATTCTATACTAGTACTGCGTAGTTCAAGTTAGAAATGTGTGTGTGTGTGTGTGTGTGTGTGTGTGTGTGTGTGTGTGTGTGTGTGTGTGTGTGGGTGTGTGTGTGTGTGTGTGTGTACGGTGTGGCCTACCTCTCACACTGGCGGAGGGTCCACGAAGCAATGATCCAGAGGGAGACCATAAACACGAGCAGTACCGTACCCGGGCAGATGGTCATTAATGTTTTAAGAACGAACCGCGTGTTGAAATTAATTCTGTTCAGCGCCCCGATGCTCCGAGACGACGCATCCGTGAACAGCTGTAAAAGAGAACAGTTGTGATGAAAAATATCCTTGATGAAGAACTAATATATATATATATATATATATATATATAATATATATATATATATATATATATATAATATATATATATATATATATATATATATATTATAATGTCGTGTACTAATAGGTGAGTACACACACACACACACACACACACGCCCACTATCGACAAGTGCCTTTACAACCAGTAACTTGCACAGGCCAAGCAATGAGTAATAACATTATCATCTCAGAGAAATTAAGTTATATTTAACCTTCCTGTGTTATTTGATATCCACTTTGCGATAATCATTCCTTTATATACTGAACATAGTCATTATAATTTTTAAAAATAAAAATATGATAACTCGATAATAAAAACGAATATAAATCCTCTCTGATTTAGCTCACTGCTAACCAAAACTAAAGGTGCAATTTACAAGGTTTTTCTGACAGTCCTGAACTGTTGTCGAATCAACTTTTGACATGACAATGTTCTAAGTAAAAGCGAAACATCCTCTGATTTCTATTATCAGTTGGAGCCTTCTACTTTATATTATTACTATGTAGATTATAATTTGAGAAAAAAACACTGCTATCGTAACTGACCGAAACTGACATGATCATTATTTATTATTATTATTATTATTATTATTATTATTATTATTATTATATTATATTATTATCTGACCTTAGAATGTAGTAACATGACCCTGCATATGAGGTACAGTCGCAGGAACATGGGTAGGGAGAGGGTGACATCTATCGGCACCCACTGGGAGCCCTCAACACCCCCGTGGTTGGAGAGTTTGGTGGTCCAGTAGAAGTAGTACTCCCCTGGGATCGGATGAACGGCGCAGATGATCAGCTCCATAGATATTCTAGCAATGCGTTGCCAGGTCATTGCGATACGCCAGTCGTCTGCGCAGTTGTCAATCATAAACAACTGTGAAGAGAAGAGAAGTGCATTACTTATGAATATTAATAATCATCAGTCAGAAGTATAAACGACATCACTTAAAGAAAACAGAGCATTATTAATAACCGTCAAAGCTTAATAAACAGTGGTCAATAGTGCTAACGAAATAACATATAGAGATCAGCAGAGAATCAAAACAAAAACCATGAACACTTGCCAATAGTAGAAACAAAAGACGAGTACTAGTTATTACTTCATAACACTGATGTTCTCTGCAGTTTGTAGTGCGAGAAAAACGTTGCCCACCACACAGTATAACTAGCAAAATAAACAGAAATATAAAAGCATCGGGAATAGACAAATAGATAGGAAAACCAGAAATAAAAGTAACATAATGGAAAGCAAACCAAAGATTTACTAGATGAATATGTGGGCAGCTGGAGTCAGCAACGGAGGCGATAGTGGTGAGTTTTTGTCCACAAGACAAACGTAGCCCCATCAAGTTCGGGGCGTGTCTGGGGTACCGTGTAATTGGATAGCTGTCAGAGCAAATGGAAATTGCCCTAAGCCTTTCACATTACCTCAAAATAATTCATGTTTTTCGTTTGGTAGCTCAGTGGTTGCCAGCTAGCTGTAGCGAATTCAAATCGTCAGTGAAATTAGAAATAGGTAGTAGTGTGTACTTATAGTTGATTTTAAGTTAGGTTCAGTAGGCATAGTCGCTTATAAATAACTTGGCTGATATATGTTTCCCCACAGAAAAAATATATTGTAAAATGATATGTGCACAGTCTCTTGTCTCTAGGGTTCAGCGTGTGGAGGATTGATCCACCACAGCTTCTTGCCCTGAATAACCCACTCAGGCGATCGTGTCATTTCCAGCAGGATCTGCAGGAGGTTACACTGGAATTCGACCTCAGCACCTCAAAGAGATGGTAAATCCAGTACTCGGTGAATCTGCATCAATTCTTCTCACCGAGTTAACAACTTTCGTCAACAATTGCCTGGCTGGGCGAATCCCAGAAGAAATTAAACCTTTCTTTTTTGGAGCCTCACTATGTGCTTTGAAGAAGAGGGATGGGGGAATCAGACCCATTGCAGTTGGAAACACTCTTCGCCGTCTCGTCGCCAAAGCAGCAGTGAGAAACATTCGCCTAGAAGCTGCCACTTTACTCCAGCCACACCAACTGGGCTTTGGGGTCTCTAAAGGCAGTGAAGCTGCAGCTCATGCGGCAAGGGCCTACATCAGGGACCTACCAGAAGACAAGGCCATAGTCAAACTTGATTTTAGAAATGCCTTTAATATGGTGAAGAGAGATGCTGTTTTGCCAGCTGTTCGGGTTTGGTTCCCCAGTCTCTTTCCCTTCATTTCAGCCGGCTACAGCAAACCCTCAATTCTTTTGTTTGGAGAACATGAAATTCAATCATCAGAGGGTGTTCAGCAGGGTGACCCACTCGCTCCACTTCTCTTCTGCTTGGCAGTAAGAGAACTAACTTCCAGCCTACGCAGTGAGATCAATATCTGGTACCTGGATGACGGCACCCTGGCAGGTACTGAAGAGTCCCTCGTGGGTTACCTACAACTGGTGAAAACACAGGGAGAAGACTTGGGACTCATCCTCAATCCCTCCAAGTGTGAAATCATCACAGCGAACCAGGAAATAATCAATGATGTGCGAAGAATCCTCCCAGAAGTCTCAACCACAACTCCGTCCAACAGTACCCTCTTGGGGGCACCGCTGGGTCACCAGGCCATCGATACTGTCCTCAGGGACAAATTGAATAACCTGATGAGAATGGAGGAGAGAATAAGCGATCTTGATGCCCATGATGCTCTGTATCTCCTCACAAGGTGTCTTACTATGCCAAGACTCACTCACTTCTTGAGGTGTGCACCCTATTTTCACAACCCAACACTCGATGAATATGACGCACACCTGAGATCAACTTTTAAGAAGGCACTGAAACCTGTCACTAGAGGATGAGCAATGGGATCAGGCAACCCTCCCAGTGCGACTGGGAGGTATAGGGGTGCGTAAAGCAACGCATGTTGCTTTACCTGCTTTTCTGTCTTCGTGTTTGGCTTCCAGTGCATTAGTCAAGAAGATAGTGCCCGAACGCTTGAGAGACTTGGTAGGAGCTCAAGACCCCAGGTTTACTGAAGCAGCAATTCGGTGGGACACCCATAGACTCCTCCAGTAGACCAACTCCTCCCAAACAGCACAAACAGTCCCACTGGGACAAACCGATCATGGAAAAAATCACCAACACAATGCTCTCCAATGCTTTAGGAAAGAACAAAGCTCGTCTCCTGGCAGTGAAGGCACCACACTCAGGAGATTTCCTGTTAGCTGTTCCCAATTCCTCCCTGGGCACCCGTCTCGACCCACAGGCCATTCGGATTGGTGTTGCTCTTCTCCTAGCCGCCCCCATCCTCACCGAACATAGGTGTATTTGCGGCAAGGCGACAGCTGATCAATTCGGACTTCATGGTCTCGTGTGCCACACAGCAGAAGGGAAGTATGCCAGACATGTTCTTATAAGGGGTACGGGAGTTATTTCTTGAGTAGCTTTAGGTAGATGTCGTTTTGATAAGGACCTGCCTCGTATGGGCCAGTAGGCCTTCTGCAGTGTTCCTACATTCTTATGTTCTTATAATAAAGAGAAGCCTCGCCACAGCCCGTTGCCCAGCTCAACGGGAACCCCAAGTACAGAGGTCTGACGGAAGTCAAAAGCGTCCTGATGGAGCCACTATGCTACCGTGGAAGGATGGAAAGCAGATTGCCTGGGACTACACCTGTGCTGCCACATTGGCAGACACCTACTTGCCATACTCTGTAGTGGAAGGGGGTGGAGCTGCCAGCCACAGGGAGACCCAGAAGATCCGAAAATATGAAGACCTTCCCCCTTGCTATAACTTCATTCCAATAGGGTCGGAGACCCTAGGAGCATGGGGCAAGTGTGCTCTAAAGTTCCTCAAAGAGCTGGGTGAAAAGCTCATCATAGAAACCAAGGACCACAGAGCGACCAGCTTCCTCTTTCAGAGACTCAGTGTTGCGATCCAGAGAGGAAATGCCTGCAGCATTCTGGGCACGCGGCCCACCGCAGGGGAGCTGGACGAAGTATTCGAGATGTAGCTCTGAGTTACCTATGTTGTTTTACTTTCGGTTGTATTTTTGTGAAAGTTTGGCCAATGTATTCTGTCTTTAAATAAAACATACTTGAAATATAGGGGGTGGTAGGAGAAAATTCTCAAACAGCTTCCGGGAAAACCTTGAGTTTTCCCTGAAGCAAGTTTATTCTTTTCTCTGAGGATGAGGGTCCCCATGACAGTTCTAGAGGTGGTACCTCCCTATATTATATATATTATATAATATATATATATATATTAATATATATATATATATATATAATATATATATATATATATATAATTATATAAAATTGACCAGTTTTACATTGTGCCGAATATGTAAAACTGGTCAATGAACAAGAACTCGTTTAAAATTAAGTCCTTTCTAAAATTTTATCTCATATCTTTAAAGATATATTTTTTCATTTATGTTAATGTAAAAATTAATAATTTTGTACCATAAGAGCCTTAGAAAATTTACCTAACCTTATTATAACAAGCGCAATTTAATTTAGCCTAATCAGACTAAATATATTTTAGATAAGCTTACAATAATTTAATAATAAACAAACACAATGAATTATATTTTATTCGTTATGTCCAGAATGATTTTTGCGAAGATATTGCATTCACAAATTTTCGCTTATGTTATTCGGCAAGAAAACCTTTACTATTTAAACCAAAATAAGAAGCTTTACCTAGTCTGCACGACTCACACACACACACACACACACACACACACACACATGTATATATATATATATATATATATATATATATATATATATATATATATATATATATATATATCAAGATGCACTAAGAAGTGTAAAACAGTCTCAGCTTCTGTTTCATATAATTCATTAAAACAATACCTTGTAAATATTTACCCTCAAACCGAAGCTCATTTCACGACCACTAGCTATTGTCTTTATTTCTAGTATTTATAACCAGACTTAAGCCTCCCCACGCTAATTGGGAGCGCTCAACAAATCAGGATTACATGCGTCTGTAATTCCAACAATAACTGCCTTTATCAATTGCACACAGTGCAAAACCCGAGCTGCGAGTTGCCACCAGCGAGGAGAAAGGGTAAAATTTTGGTTAAATCGCTGTTAAGGAACACCAAATCCACAATAATTGCCTACTATATTTCCTAAGAGAAAGAATAAAATTTACATTTGCTGAGTTAGTGGAGTTTATTTTGCTGCACGTATCTGTGCTCTGCAGTGCAGGTAAGAGGAGAGTCCTCGATGCCTGTGGTTAAATTGGCCAGGCGGACAATTATGGCCCATTTTTCTAGTGCCAGAAAAGTTACGAAAGAGACGTAAGGGGGAGGAAGAGTGTGAGAGAGAGAGGGAGAGGGAGAGAGGGAGAGAGAGAGAGAGAGAGAGAGAGAGAGAGAGAGAGAGAGAGAGAGAGAGAGAGAGAGAGAGAGAGAGAGACAGACAGACAGATCTGTTAACTCTCCTACACCTGACATGACTGCTTCAGCACGTGCCAGTACACCAGACAACACACATACCATCACTGATTCTACACCTGTCAGCCCACCTGCCGACACTATTCCAGGATCTGGCAGCAGTACTTCATCTGCAAGTAATGAGTCAGGATTTTCTCCACCAGAGATTGGTGCAGTTAATCAGGGAACTATCACTGCACCTGAACAGGTGCTGCGCCTAAGCACGAACAACAGGGGCACATCAGTCAGAACTGTACAGGGGCGTGGTAGAGGACATAGAAGAGGACGTGGAGGAGGAAGACGACATCTGCAGCCGTCTCACCTTCCACCAACACAGTCCCAGGAAAACGTTCATGAGATACACAATCAACAGGCTCACCAGCGGCAGAACCTGCGGATAAATCAGCAGCGAAACACAAGAGGTGCAACATATAGTCCACCCTCCCAGGCATCTAGGCAGTGCTCTCGCTGTCACTGGAGGGGGCACATCACTAACAAATGCCTGCGAGATACCAGGTGCAATTACTGCCACAAGAGGAAACGTCACGAGGATCAGTGTCGGAAGAGAAAGGAACTTGACGGACAGGACCACCTGTTTAGAGACCTGTTCTCGGAACAAACAAGCAGGATCTCTGAATTGGTGAACAAACACGTCACCCACTCAGCTACTACTCTCTCAGCCCAGCAGGTGGTTTTGTGCCTTACACAAGACCACAGACCTACATCCCAGCAGCTGCCTCGGTGCCCTACCTGTCTCAAAGCACCTTACACACTTTACACACCCACTACCTCAAGCTGATCACATCTTGAGGAGCCAGTCTATCAGCATCTTGTAGGCCAACATTTGAGGTTTCATTATCAATGTTAGAGAGCTCACACACACTTTTGTGAATACTCGAAGTCCCGACATGATAGCTGTTGTTGAAACAATTTTGAACGACAGT